CTAAATAAAAAAAAACAAATCACCCAAAGACAAATAAAATTTCTCTACAAAAAGAAAAGGACAAAAAGAGCAGAGAAAAGAAATAGTGGAGGGGAATAAGGCGCGTTGACTTTTTTAGGAACTTTTGAGTGGAAAAAAGAATCTAATAATGGGGAATGGCATCATCTTCAGGTGGATTTGTCATTATTTTATTTCATAAAGAAAAGAATAATAACCTTAATATCCACGCCCTACTTTTTAGTTTGAAATTATTTAAGGAGTCATTAAAAGCCACTTGTCATTATTATTATAATTACTAGCATATGGGTTGAGTACTACTTAATTCAATGCACAATTAATGGGGTAAAAGTCCACTTATTTAGTCACTTTCCCCCACTTTATCCAAAGTCAACTTAAATTGCTTGATTTGATCGGATTTTTTCAATCGATGCTCTTACTATGTTGAAAATGTTATGGTATAATTAGGATTAGTTGTTTCAAGATCAAATAAATCATTATTATATTTATAATCGCATAATCGATTCTTCGTCCCCGTTTGCCATAAATTTTGCCAATTTTTTTCCAAATTTTCTTTGGCAAATACTTTTGTTTGTAGATTTTATCCATATTTTGGCAAATTTTAAAATTCTAAAACCGGCTCAAGAATTATTTTTGGCACAAAATATTACCGTTTGGTTTTTACAGAAAATTCAAAAAATTTCCTAAACTTTTGAAATCCCTTATTATGACCAAACTAATCCATATCTACCCACTTTTTCCTCATTAAACTCACGCGACTTTGCCCTTCTCTATAAACAGAAGAAAACTTTCGCCAAAGTTGTTGTGCCAATTTGTGATAATCCACCGCAACGATAAAAAATTGAAGGTAATTTGCTAAAATCTACTAATATTTTTATAAATTTTCTTCGAATTTATTTCGCTTGTTTAAACTTCTTATTATTTTGAAGGTCCATTTGAAAGGTCTAAGAGTGAATGGGACGTATTGTCCCTTGTGGGACATCCGATTAAAAAGAAGCGGAGGTCTTTTAATTCAATAAATTTTTATATTCCTTTACACTATTTCAAACTTTATTACCATCCCTACTCAAGTTTTAATCTAATTACATAATATATACAAAATTATCAATTATGTACATTTTTAGGCATTTAATGATAATAATTAAATCCAAAATCACTCTAACATCTATATCTCACTCCCCCGCATTTCTCTCTCTACACACCCACTTTGAAGAAGACGTTAGAGTGTTTTTTAAATTGGACTAGTCAAAAATATTTTTTATTTGCAGCTACTCTGTTAATTTGATCTTTGGGCTAGGCAGCACATGGAATGGTTTCATTAGTGAAAATTTTGATACCATCACATTTTGATTCATTTGTAAAGCTTGAGATGTTTAGCTTGTCGGCTGTGACGATCCCTTGAGAGAAATAATTTTGGAATTTTTACATTTCTATACACTCTTCTTCAAAAATCCCTCTACATTTTTTCACTCTTCTTCAAAAATCAATCTCCATTTTTATAGATTCAAACTCTAAATACTCTACCACACACTTCCTTTAACGCATGTTGCTTGCTTAACTTTCAATGAAGAAGAAAACACTTTCGAAGATCATCCCTAATTCCAGTAAGAGAGCAGTAATTCCACCATTGACAACTATTAAAAAGCTTTGAAGCTTTGAATTCGAATTTGGATTTTCAAAAATTATTATTTGTTTAGATTGGGTGTTATTGCAAACAATTGGGAATATTGTTTTGAGTTTATATCTCAATTTTGAGAGTGTTTTGGTGAAAATTAGACTTGATTTTGGATGAATTTCAGATTGAAACTCGAAGTCGAAGAAGAAGAAGAAAACATGACATATATTATACTTACGAAATTGTAGTAAAGTTGTAGTAAAATTGTAGAAAAATTATATTATATTGTTTATATTTTTTTTTATTTAAATATTGTATGAGAGTTGAACAATATTGTATAAAAGTTGTATTTAAGTTGTATGATATTGTAGTTATATATAACTGGGTAGAAATAATATATGAAAGTTATAGATAAGTTGTAGATAATTTGTATAATATATAATTAGTTGTATGAAATTTGTTTTTACTATGTATAAATCAGATACAAAATATACAAAAGACATATTGTATAAAAATTATATTTAAGTTGTATGATATTGTAGTTATATATAACTGGGTAGAAATAATATATGAAAGTTATAGATAAGTTGTAGATAATTTGTATAATATATAATTAGTTGTATGAAATTTGTTTTTACTATGTATAAATCAGATACAAAATATACAAAAGACATATTGTATAAAAATTATATTTAAGTTGTATGATATTGTAGTTATATATAACTGTGTAGAAATAATGTATGAAAGTGTAGATAAGTTGTAGATAAGTTGTATAATATATACTTAGTTGTATGAATTTTTTTTTACTATGCATAAATCAGATACAAAATATATAAAAGACAAAATTAACCAAATGTATGACACACGTATGAAGTATTATACAATTAAGGAATTTTTACATTCCTATACACTATTTCAAACTTTATTACCCTCCCTACTCAAGTTCTAATTACATATATATACAAAATTACCAATAATGTACATTTTTAGGCATTTAATGATAATAATTAAATCCTAAAATCACTCTAACGTCTATATTTCCTCTCCCCCGCGTTTCTCTCTCCACGCACCCCCTTTGAAGAAGACGTTAGAGTATTTTTTAAATTGGACTAGTCAAAAATATTTTTTATTTGCAGCTACTCTGTTAATTTGATCTTTGGGCTAGGCAGCACATGGAATGATTTCAGTAGTGGAAATTTTGATACCATCATCTTTTGATTCATTTGTAAAGCTTGAGATGTTTAGCTTGTCGGCTGTGACGATCCCTGGAGGGAAATAATTTTGGAATTTTTACATTCCTATACACTTTTCTTCAAAAATCTCTCTATATTTTTTCACTCTTCTTCAAAAATCAATCTCCATTATTAATGATTCAAGCTCTAAATACTCTACCACACACTTCCGTTAACGCTTGTTGCTTGCTTAACTTTCAATGAAGAAGAAAACACTTTCGAAGATCATCCCTAATTCCAGTAAGAGAGCAGCAATTCCACCATTGATAGCCATTAAAAAGTTTTGAAGCTTTGAATTCGAATTTGAATTTTCAAAAATCATTATTTGTTTGGATTGGGTGTTGTTGCAAACAATTGAGAATATTATTTTGAGTTTATATCTCAATTTTGAGGGTGTTTTGGTGAAGATTAGACTTGATTTTGGCTGAAGAAGAAGAAGAAGAAGAAGAAGAAGAAGAAGAAGAAGACATGACATACATTATACTTACGAAATTGTAGTAAAATTGTAGAAAAATCTGTTGTTTATATATATATTTTTTATTTAAATATTGTATGAAAGTAAACAATATTGTATAAAAGTTATATTTAAGTTGTATGATATTATAGTTGTATATAACTGGGTAGAAATAATGTATAAAAGTTGTAGATAAGTTGTAGATAATTTGTATAATATATAATTTGTTGTATGAAATTTGTTTTTACTATGTATAAATCAGATACAAAATATACAAAAGACATATTGTATAAAAATTATATTTAAGTTGTATGATATTGTAGTTGTATATACCTGGGTAAAAATAAAGTATGAAAGTGTAGATAAGTTGTAGATAAGTTGTATAACATATACTTAGTTGTATGAAATTTATTTTTACTATGTATAAATCAGATATAAAATATACAAAAAACATTGTATAAAATTTATATAAAAAATGTATTTAAGTGGTATGATATTGTAGTTGTATATAACTTGATAGAAATAATGTATGAAAGTTGTAATTGTATATCAATTGATAGATGCTTTGTAATGGCTGAAAGTAATGCGTCGTAACTTGACTCTGAGTTTATCACAATTTTGTCGACATTAAAATTAACATATCGACCACTATAATCCCATCCACATGAACAGATAGCAAAGGAAATGCAAGAATTTAATTATAAGAGAAGATGGTGTAACGGTAACTTTGAATTTTCCTTGAGCATTCTCTTTGTTAATATTCCTTTGTAGAATTAAGGGCATGGTAGTTGCCGGTTGAAACAACAATTCATAATATTCATCTTTGTTAATTAAAGGACAAGATTTAAGGGTAAAGCGGGTTATCTTAAAATAGTACTTGAACTTTCTGCAACAGGTTTGTCCTTGGTGAAGGGCAGGGTAGTTGGAAAGAATTCTCAATTCATTATCATTCAATTCAGTGATTACCTTTACTAGTACATGAGGTTAGCTCATCTATTGACACTTTAAGGAGTATATAAATAAGATAAAAAAGAAGAGTAAGAAAGAGGATTTTGAGCAAAGTCTGTTAGAGTAGCAGATTTAGTTGAAAAATTCGTTATTATTCAAAGCACTCCGTTTACTCAAGATATGAGGAGAAAGAGAGAATATAGAGAGAAGAGGGGAGAGATGAGAGAAAAAAAGGAAAAGGGTGTAACTAAATCCCTTGATTGAAGGCACAAATAATGGATTGAGAGCTTTTTAAGGTGGATTGTATATATTTTATAACTAAAATATGTTTAGGTCAGGTAAATACCAATACATGGACATTTTTCGTAATAAGGTTTCAAATAGTATATAGAAATGAAAAAATCTGTCGAAGTTCAGCTTATGGATGGTCCTGGGCTTTACCAAATAAGCCCATGAGGTAAAGCTGACTTCCACTATAATTGCCTGCCGAGTTTACAAAGTTTAATCACCTCAGAGTCAAACTTCCAACCAATCAGCTTTGAAGTTTCAAACTTCACAAACGGGTTGGAATTTTGAAATGCCAAAACCTAAGTTTTGGTTTTGGTGGATCAAACCTTCAGGTGCGAGGTTATGCTATTTCGGGTATGAAGAAGCAGGAGGAGGAGCAGTCTGAAGTTCGCCAAAACTGGCTAAACTGTAAATAGATTCTTCCAAAAACTGGATACGTTTTAAGTAAAGGTGCTAAAAGTGGCTACCTGGTGCAATATATACCTTCTTTTTTGAGACATAAATATTTGAAAAACAACCATATTCAATGATTTGTCATCTTATTCATCAAGTACTTGATGTGCATATACATAAGTGAGCTAAGAAAGTTAAACAGGTCGCTCCCAAGGTTCACTTGATATTTTAGTAAGAAACTAGCGGTTGATGACTCTGAGGGCAGATTCAACAACTGTATAAGGGCTCTGGATCCACATTTCTTCTAATCCTGAAACATTTTTAAAAACAAAAGCAGCATGTAAGTTGGATCATAACTAGAAACTTATATATCTGTTGTCGCATATCATTCAGCAAAAGTAGCTATTGATTCAATAAGCATGCCTGCTTTTGAGTCTCTTGATCCTTTTTCCTTGGCAACATAGCTTTTCGTTTGGTAAGAATATTTTCCGAGTTTCTCTATGAGTGAAAGCTACATCTCAGCAAATAGGTCGATTTATATAAACTATCATCCTACGTATCCTTTTCCACCCCCCATCCTGTCACAATCCAAGGGAGGAAAATACTCAATTTCCAAAATCTAAAGTTATATTGGACGGGGCCTGATACTATGACATATTATTGAATATAAATTAAATGATTTCTCATATGTAAGAAATTACATGTGATCCATTCAGATGCAGATCTAATGTTGATTAAGAAAAAATTCAGGTAAACCTGAATTCCGGACAATCTTAATCTTTGCTTCAACTTTACAACTTGAAGAATAGGAGTATCTAGCCATATCATAAAAGATATAGTTAATAATTTTCAAGAGTCAGAAGAGGAGATCTGCACACTTTAGCACCAGTTTTAGAGGTTAGAAGGATAAAACAATTAAATAGGTTCCAACTAGATGATCAAACAAATAAATGTGCCATGCAATAGACTCGAAGTGGAGATGTAGCTATTACAAAGGGCAGTCTGGTGCACTTATATCCCCTATGCGGATCTGGGAACAGGTGCAGTCTGGTGCACTTATATCCCCTATGCGGATCTGGGAACAGGTCAAACCACATTGGGTCTATCGTATGCAGTATTACTTTGCAAATATTGCTTTCTAAAAAGGATCTATAGAAGTTCCCCATGTAGTTTTCAGTAATTCAGAACCATGAAAAATGATGTGCCAACACCTATACTAAGCTGTAATGTTGAGAACAACTTTTTGATGTTCCTAATAATCTACAAGTCACCCTGCACCCACTGTGTGAACCTTAGCTTCCGTATCAGACATTAGAGGTCCTTCCTGATAATTACAGCTATAGCATGACTCTGCTGCTTTACCCCTCAGTAAAATATGGCATTAAGAATCAAGAAACAGAGCAAATTAAACACAAAACCCTGGCCACTCACCAATTGTCTTCTGCCCATTTGCAGCCATTAGTATCCACCACATGCAAACTGTATGCATGTCGTGACTTTGAAGACTGGTTCTCAAAACTGCAATCATCCATTGAAAAGATTGAATGGATAAAAAACATTCCAAACGAGCCAAATACAAACGATAGCACAACTGGCAGTTCTATATGGTCCCAGAGAAGTTCTGGAAGTGACTGACCTCTGGTGAATAAGATCTCCGTGAATGACTACCAAAGATCCAGCTTTTACTTCAAGCGGAACGAAATCTTTCTGGTTATAACATGGAGATGGCCTATCAAAGTGAACCCCATTTTCATCTCTAAGGAATCTCCTCACAAGGCCATCTAAAGAAATAGAACTTTATGTATGTTATATGAAGGAATTCGATGATTAAAGGTAGCAAGGCAAAGTAGAGTTGGGAAAACAATACTTCTGTGGGATCCCGGTATAGCCCAGAGACAGCCATTTACAATTGTTGCATCCTCTAAAGCCAGCCACAAGCCAGTGCACGTTGTTGGTTCAGTGTACAGAAAAGAGTTATCCTGGTGCGGCACTACTTCACCCCCAATACCTGGTTGCTGAGAAGCAAAGTTTTACATGTCACTCGCAGAAGGATGGATAATAGTTACTACAACTACCTTAGGGGTTTTACTTCTTTTCTGTAATTTGTTCAATTGCAAAGAGTGTGGTGACTCCACATATACAGGAAAACACGCCTCCTCTACGATGTTATCATACTATTAGAGACAACTGAGAAACCATTTTCAAGGGGACACGAGGATATGCACCACTAAAGAGCACTTATTAGTTCACTTCACCATAGCGAGGTTTAGAATTTTTAAAGTGACAAGACGTGCACATGGTACAGATGCATGCTTGGATAACACGAGCAAGGTGATGTGACGTGAGCAAAATTATTTAACTTCAAGAACTAATATGCTATTGAGTACATGATTCATCCAAATAATATAAATATTAGCTAGGAATATTGGGGTTACTCAAGTATGGAATTTGGGATCAACAAGTTGACTATGAAATCACATGCTCCATCCATTCCATTTTATGTTGTGAATCAAACTACTTACTTTTTGTTGTGAATTCAGACATCAACTCTTCAAGTTATTTGACAAAAAATTACATATTTAAAAGCAATATAAAAACTATGATAAGTTACAATAGTTAATAATTCAAAATACGTAAGAAAATATTCAAGAAAATCGTGGTCAAAGAAGAACCTCTTTGGCTCCCCAAATAGTAACAGTGCCACATAAAAATGAACAGAGGCAGTAAGATTCAAGTACTAAATATAGACAGATGAAAACCTTATAAAAAAATATAGACAGATAAGAAAAGAAAATTCAAATGGCAAATCAATGATTTATAAATATAAATATAGGAAAATCTTCTCTATTTATGTAGTTAGAAGACCAATTCATGTGCACAAAGTCATAAGAATGCGACATTTGCTTTACATCACGGATAGCATCTTAGATCAAACTTTTTAGCAGTTAATATCTCAGACTGGAATCCTTGAACAGCTAAGGAAATCAGCATCATAAGTTAAACAGTATTTTATACAGAGTCATCATGTTGTTTGGAGAATTGTAAGAACTTCAAAGATCCTACATATGGCTGTGTATTAGGTTAATATGACAATGTATCTTGTGGTGCCATTGATCATTACAGAATTTGGGTCTATTAGGGAGAAAATGGAATAGAGTAAATTAGAAAGCACACAGGGTAACATGAAGTAATTCTTATTGGTGTTCATTTTCTTTAATACTCTTTGTCATGGTACAGATAGAAGTTTCAGTCCAAGATCATTGCATTAGAGCAGGAGATGCTACCTATGTATAGACTATAGACATTAGCTTTACAATCAAGTACCAAAGATTCAACCTAAACATTCAAGCTTCATCCAGTTATTAGGAATTGGCAAGTGATAGCAGAAGATAAGAGGAAAAAGAGAAACAGGAAATAGTAAATAAGAACATGATTAGGTCCCTTCAGGGGCATCTGATAAAATTGGAAGACACAGAGAGATTAGCATGGTCACGACACAAGGATGACATGCACAAATCGAGAAATGGTCCCAATTTTGTATTAAAATAAAAGAGCACATGCTTAGATGCTTGACTGGAGTTTAATCATGTAAGTAGAAGTTCTAGAAAAGCTAATACCAAAACCCAGTCAAAGGAGAACAAATTGCTTTGAAATTTTTTGGGGTAGATCCATATAGGCATGCGAGAATTTGTTATGTACGAATTGTTTATACCTTGTTGTATACGGGATCCAACACCCTTGGATGCTTTTCCTTTAGATAATTTCATTGACCTTGTTAAATAAAATGTTCGAGCTTTCTTCTGCACACTAAGTCCAGAAAAGGGGTCACTTTTCAACTGGGATACATTCTAGCCTTATTAAGACACATATTTTCTAGAATGACACTCATAACTAATGCCATATCTTACCGGGCATCAGAAGGTGATCTTGAACAACTAGGGATTGGACACGATTTAACCAAAGTATTGTATAAAAAGACGTAGGGCAGAGAAACCCCATAACTGGATAAAACAGTACCAGTATTTACCTTGAATATGTACATTGACTGAATGACTACTGGCCTTTGGTAGCCCAATGACCGCAGCATGCCTGAGACTTTGTCCGAGCTAGAGAACTTATTAAATACAGGATCTTTCTCATGAAGAGCTGCAGCAGTACCACAGGTCAAAGAAATCAAAATGAAACAACTCTTTTGACAATAAGTAATGAACAGAAGATTACCATGCCCAACTTTATTTATTGCCAGTTGCTTTGGCTGCTTTAAGTTGCCATCTTCATCAAATGCTTTCTCTGTTAACACTGATATGGACTCAGCCATTTCAACAAAAGGAAAGGGCCCAGCCCAGCAAGAATGAGAAAATAACCGGATACCCGGCCCACTACCATTTCACTTCCCATTTCTTTTATTCTTGACATTTTAGTTGATGTAAATATAAATACAGATTTTTCTTTTATGGAAGAACAATATAGAAAAAATAAACAGACGTAGAGTCTAGACTTCTCTCATCTCTCTCTCGCCCTAACTAGGGTTTTCTTCTTTTCTTTCCGCCATAGCTGCTTGTGCTTCAATCTAACATGGTATCAGAGCAGGAATTATGATTCCTCGCTTCATGAGCTTCAGTCCGATGTTACCCTCGCTCAGAGTTTTGGACGGTTTCATTTCCGTCTCTAGTTGATCGAAGTCAACTGCTAAATCGTCGATTTTGGGGATTTCCCTGTTTTTCTTCTTCAAGCGTCTGGTATTGCTAGAAGATTTGATTTTTAAGGTTTTCCAAGGTTTTCTTCAACGATCCCTTCAGATTCGATTTTTTAGGGTTTCATATTCGGAGAAGACTCTTCTTCTTCGAGTTTGAGAAGAAGGCTGGTAATACCTTTCCTGTTCAACCCCGAAATCGTATATATCTGATGTTGCATGTAGCATATTTGTGTAGAAATTGTATTGATTCAGTTGATGATAGTTTTGTTTCAACTTACTGAACTTGAATTTCACTCTATGGGTAGTGTTATGGAAAACATAGGATCGCCTAGTAGTACAACCTCTGAGGGTTTCACTCCCTTCACGATTGACCATCCCATCCTTTATATGTGCATCCGTCTGATAGTCCTGATAGTCAGCTGGTGTCTGTACCTTTTAGTGGTTGTGGTTTTGTTCTGTGGAGAAGCAGTATGCTTACCTCCTTGTCTGCAAAGAACAAGTTAGGTCTCCTAGATGGTAGGGTCCCTCAACCATCACCAGATTCTCCTTATTACCCATATTGGGAAAGGTGCAATGACATGGTGAAGGCATGGATAACTAATTCTGTGTCTAGAGAAATTGCCACCAGTGTCATGTGCCTTAAAGACTGCGAGAGAAATCTGGAAAGACATTAATGAGAGATTTGGTCAGTCAAATGGGTCAAAGTACCTTCAAATCCAAAGGGAAATTAGTACAACCACTCAAGGTTCATCAGACATTGCTACCTACTTCACTAAGCTTAGGAGCTTATGGGATGAACTGAACTCCTCTTATGTTGGTCCAGTGTGCTCTTGTGGGGCACTTCCAAAATTCATAGAGGACCAACAATTATTTCAGTTTCTGAATGAATTGAATGAATCATATTTTACTGTCAAGAGTGCCATCACGATGATGAACCCTCTCCCTCCTATAAGCAAGGCTTACTCCCTTCTTCAACAGGATGAGAGTCAAAAGGAATCTCTTTCCAATGTTTCCAACATTTCTGGGGATTATGCATCTTTCTATGTAAATCCTGCTCAGTACAAAAACAATAAAAACTTTACCCAGAAAGTCAATTTTGAACCCAAGAAGAATGTGTCCACAGTGTCATGTAAATACTGCAAGAAACCTGGACACACAGTGGAAAAATGCTACAGGCTGCATGGTTTTCCCCCTGACTTCAAATTTACTAAGAGTAAGAAGTCTGCTTCTTGTGTCCAAGGTGATGTCTCCTATCCTCAATCATCTTCTAGGTTCAGTCAGTCTCCTGGTAACTCTGCTCCAGTTCATGGGTTCACAAAGGAGCAGTATCAACACCTCCCCACTCTATTTCAACAAGCTCAGGTCTCTCCTGGTGCTGCACCAACCATCCAATCAGATGAGGATTCTGCTTTTGCTCATTTTGCAGGTTTGTTTACTGCCTATGCTGTAGAATCTGTAGGTTCCCATGTATGTGCTTCTTCACAATTAGATCCAAACCCTTGGATCTTGGATTCAGGGTCCACTAATCACATGACTCCACACAAACATTTGCTTCACAATGTTGTGCCTTTACCTAAACCATTTCTTGTCACCTTACCTAATGGATACAAAGTTAAGGTTATATCAACTGGTTCCTTGAATCTAAGACATGATATAACTTTGCTTAATGTCCTTCCAGTACCATCTTTTCATTTCAATTTGATCTCTATTCATCAACTTATTACTCAGTTGAATTGTATAGCAGTTCTTACCAAATTCCATTGTTCTCTACAGGGCCTTTCTCTGAAGAGGCCACTGGTAATTGGTAAGGCTGCTGGCAGGCTCTACTATCTTCACCCAGATGGAGATCTATTCCCCAACACAAGTTCTTCTCTATCTTCTGTTGTTAATACAACTTGTAATAAGTCTATTCATGCACCTTTACATCTTAATGTTCCACCTAGTTGTAATCAAACTTCACTTGTTAAAAAGATGGATCTACTTTGGCATCAAAGATTGGGTCACATGCCTTTTCATAAGATGCAGTCTATTTCTTTTCTGTCTGACAAAGTCTCTACTAAACAACCTTTTATTTGTTCAATTTGTCCAATGGCTAGACAACAAAGACTCCCTTTTCATGATAGTACTATTTCTTCTACCAAACCTTTCCAACTAGTTCACATTGACATTTGGGGTCCTTACAACACTAAAACTTATAATGGTTTTAGGTATTTCCTCACTTTAGTTGATGATTTTACTAGAGCCACTTGGACTCATCTTCTTTCTTCCAAGAGTAATGCTTTGTCAATTCTTAAAGCTTTCACTTCTATGGTGAAAGTTCACTTTAACTCCTCAATACACACTTTTAGATCAGATAATGCTTTTGAACTTGGGAGTAGTTCTGAAGCCATCAGCTTCTTTGCTTCTCAAGGCATTTTACATCAAACTTCCATTCCCTATACTCCACAACAAAATGGTGTTGGGAAAGGAAACAAAAACATCTTTTAGAAGTCTCAAGAGCCCTAATGTTTCAATCCAAACTACCACTGAAATTTTGGGGGGAATGTGTCCTCACTGCTACATACCTTATCAACAGGATGCCCTCACCACTTCTCCTTAAGCTTTCTCCTTTTGCAAAACTTCATGGGCATCCACCCTCCTATGATCACTTAAGATCATTTGGCTGTCTCTGCTTCTCCTAAGGTAGGCAGGGATAAATTTCAATCTAGAGCCATTGCATGTATATTCTTAGGATATCCCTGTGGCAAGAAAGGTTACAAATTACTCAATCTGTCTTACTCTTCTATTTTTCATTCTAGAGATGTAGTATTCCATGAACATACTTTTCCCTATTCTTCTTCCACTTTTTCCCATTTCAATGTGTTACCTCCCACTTTTGTGGATATCCCAGATCCTCCTCCGGTGGTTACTCCCTTTATTAACCATCCTGATCCTCTCCCCCTCTTGCTACTTATTCTTCACCTCCTCCTGTTTCCCCTGTTTCCTTTCCTTATTCTCCTAATTCCACCACCATTGTTTCTGAACCTCCTCCCTTAAGAAGGTCCACTAGAACTGTTATTCAACCCTCTTACCTTAAGGATTATGTCTGTTCCTCTGCCCTCTCCAACCATGCTTCTACACAATCCAAGATTTCCTCTAGTGAAGCTCACATGCATGAACCTTAGTTCTACCAGCAGGCTGCAGGTAATCCTGCATGGCAAGAGGCCATGCTAAAGGAATTTCATGCTCTTGAGGCTAATCAGACTTGGGACATTGTCCCTCTTCCCCAAAATAAAAAGGCTATTCCCTGCAAATGAGTTTATAAGATTAAGCAGAGGGCAGATGGGTCTATTGAAAGGTACAAAGCTAGGTTGGTTATTAGAAGTGATACTCAGAGAGAAGGCATAGATTTTACTGAAACATTCTCCCCTGTTATCAAACTCACCACCATCAAATGTCTCCTCACTCTTGCCATCAAGAAAGGTTGGACTGTGTACCAGCTGGATGTCAACAACGCCTTCTTACATGGTGATCTCCATGAGGAGGTCTATATGAGAATCCCGCCTGGTCTTGATGTCTGCTCTGCTTCTTCTTCAGCTCATCTAGTCTGCAAACTCAAGAAATCTCTCTATGGCCTTAGGCAAGCTTCCAGACGGTGGTTTTCAAAACTGTCTAAGGCTTTGCTCTCAAGGGGCTACATTTCTAGTCTCAATGATTACTCTCTCTTCACCAAATCTTCTTCTGGATCTCTAGTGATATTGGCTGTCTATGTTGATGATATCTTATTGGCTGGAGATGATCTAACTGAAATGCAATCTTTGAAATCTTTTTTGGATGCTTAGTTCAAGATAAAGGATTTGGGTTTTGTCCATTATTTCTTAGGTCTGGAGATCTCAAAGACTACTCAGGGTTATGTCATGAGTCAACATAAATACACCTCTGATCTTCTTGTTGAGTTCAACTGCAATCATTTTTCTGCTGTTGTGACTCCTTTGGACCCTTATGTCAAGCTGACTATAGATATGGGTGATCCACTTCCTGATCCTAGTCTGTACAGAAGACTAATTGGCAAGCTCAATTTCCTGCAGCACACTAGGCCATATATTTCCTTTTCTGTCTAACATTTGAGCCAGTTCCTTCAGAAACCTTATGTTTCTCACATGATGGCTAGCTTACATGTTCTCAGATATTTGATGGTTGCTCCTTCTCAGGGTGTGCTTCTTTCCAATTCTCTTGACTTGTCTCTTGTGGTCTATTCTGACTCTGATTGGGCATCCTGTGCTATCTCTCGCAAATCAGTTACTGGGTTTTATGTGACACTTGGTGGGAGCCCTATATCTTGGAAAAGCAAGAAACAACCCACCATTTCCTTGTCTTCAGCTGAGACTGAATACAGGGCCCTAAGGAAGGTTACTGCTGAAGTTTCTTGGCTGGTCAGACTCCTTAGGGATCTTGGTCTTCATATTTGTTCTCCTGTCCCAATCCATTGTGATAGTCAGGCTGCCCTTCACATTGCCAGAAATTCAGTTTTTCATGAGCGTACAAAGCATATTGAGATTGATTGCCATTATGTTCGTGAGTGTTTGAATTCTGGGCTTATCTCTTTACGTTTTGTTTCTAGTACTAACCAGCTGGCTGATATTATGACAAAGGCTCTATCTGGACAGCTTCATCACAGCATTCTTGGCAAGCTTGGTGTGTTTTCACCCTCCAGCTTGAAGGGGGGTGTTGACACTGATATGGACTCAGCCATTTCAACAAAAGGAAATGGCCCAGCCCAGCAAGAATGAAAAAATAACCGGATTTCACTTCCCATTTCTTTTATTCTTTACATTTTAGTTGATGTAAATATAAATACAGATTTTTCTTTTATGGAAGAACAATATAGAAAAAATAAACAGACGCAGAGTCTGGACTTCTCTCATCTCTCTCTTGCCCTAACTAGGGTTTTCTTCTTTTTCAGACTTCTCTCATCTCTCTCTCGCCCTAACTAGGGTTTTCTTCTTTTCTTTCCGCCATAGCTGCTTGTGCTTCAATCTAACATTCTCTGCCAAGACCATAAACATCAACCTAGAAGCTTACGAAAGGAATTGAAAGTGACGGACATAGATGCAAAGTACTGAAAAGCAGGATCAGATATTTAAAATCCAAAATATCATCAATTTAAGAGAAGCATATATACCTTCCCAGAAGAATGAAATCTTCTCTGCACTTTCAAAAAAGTGGTCATTAGTCGTCTGTTGCTGGAAAAAAAAACAATTTGGGGGGGTGTTAAGCACAAAACGAATTAAACGAAAGTATTTGAGTTAAAAAATTGAATATTTACTTGGTTCTTGGTAGAGAAAATAGAAGCAGTGGAAGAGCAATCAAACTCATCAAGCATCTGTTCCATTCTCTTCCTAAGGGACTCAATCTCTGCTGGGTTTGCAAATGATTCTAACACCAAATACCCTGTAGTGTGTTGTGTTGTATTGCATTCAAATCGAATAACTGTTACATCATCAAATTACACACTGCTTAGTTAAAACATAGATGAGATTACCATTAGAGTCGAAGAACTGAAGCTGCTCTGAACTCAGGTTTCCTCCTTCAATACCCATCTTTGACCTTTCCGTCTAAGAGGTGTTGTTAGAATTGTATGACGTGTTGACGCGGTGTTTTCTCTGAGAATTTATAGAGCTAATACGAAAATTACTTTAAGTTTGGTACTAAAATGCAAATTCAAGAATATCTTAGCATCGTTGTTTGTGTTCATGGTCCATATTCTTACCATAATTTCATGATCTGCCCTCCTAGCTATCAGTGGTGACAAATATATATATGCTGCCGAAATCTCCAAACATTAGAGTCAATTTTTAGGCGATCGCGAAATTTTAAGAAAATAAAGATGAAATTGGGGGAAAAAAATTTCAAAAACCTCACTGTCATACCATTTTACTATTGTCGAAGGGCCAAATATATACTTTGCTTTCGAAAATTGTCTAAAAATAACCCTCGTTATACTATTGGGTTATATATACCCTTCCCGTCATACTTTGGAACAAATATAACCTTATTTTGGATGCAGTACCACGTGTCAGCACCAGATGAAAACGACTCATTTCTTTTTTTTTTATCCGATCCATTTTAAAAAACTCATCACCCGACCCGTTTTAAAATTCAGTTTTTTTAAAGCATATATTTTATAAAAACTAGAATTTATTTTTGTAAAAACTGAAAAAAAAATTGTACAATATAAAGTATTCTTTTGTAAAAACTGGAAAACAAATATGTTTTTAAAAAATGCTTTAAAAACTGAAAAATATATATTCTGTAAAAACTGGAAAAAAAAAAAAGAATTTGTAAAATATATATTTTTAAGTCTTTTCAGTTTTTTAAAGTATTTATTTTTGTAAAAACTGAAAAAAAATATGTTTTTTAAAACTGAAAAAAAAAACTCTCCTAAACAGTGGTCTACATATGCATTAGTTTTAAAAAAATAAAATATTTTGCAATTTTTTTTTCCAGTTTTTACAAAAAAATATACTTTAAAAAACTGAAAAAACTGAAAAATATAAATTTTGCAAATTCCTTTTTTTTTTTAATTTTTACAGAATATATATATTTTCAGTTTTTAAAGCATTTTTAAAAAAAATATTTTTTTTTCAGTTTTTACAAAAATAATACTTTTAAAAAACTGAAAAGACTTAAAAATATATATTTTTCAAATTCCTTTTTTTTTCTTCAGTTTTTACAAAAACAAATTCTAGTTTTTACAAAATATATGCTTTAAAAAAACTGAATTTTAAAACGGGTCGGGTGATGGGTTTTTTAAAACGGATCGGATAAAAAAAAGGGTCGTTTTCATCTGGTGCTGACACATGGCACTCCATCCAAAATAAAGGTATATTTGTTTCAAAGTATGACGGAAAGGGTATATATAGCCCAATAGTATAATGAGGGGTATTTTTAGACCATTTTCGAAAGTACAGGGGTATATTTGGCCCTTTGCCGTTTTACTATTTAAGTGATGTAGAGTTCTAGAAAAATAGTACTGTTAATTTTTTGAAGAGAATTCAAAAATTAAGATGCATTAATCAAACATAAATTGCTACTCAATTTTTAGAAATTTGGCCAATCGAATTTGACTGAACATAAAAATTGCAACGATTTGCCTTTCACCGACTTACAACTTAAATGTAAATCTATCCCTTTTAAAAATCTTGCAATGCATTTGTAATATGTTTAGTACATACAATCCCTTTTTCTATGTATGTTGTAACCGTTTCTTCCTCTTGTTTATTTACACACTCTCATTTTACTTTTAAAGACATGTTATTATAGTCATATTTATAACTATAAGTTATAAAGATACTTTTCGTACGTGCGAAAAGTTTTTCCTTAAACTATTAAACTCAACACCCACCGCCATGCCAGCTAAAAAGAAACGAAAGGAGTAATTGTTTATAGGCGGAATGCAAAGTTAAATCATTTACGCAGTTATGTAGAGTGCTTATTCAAGGAATAATCGTGTGCATGATGATAAGCTATAATCTCGTATTTTAGTCGCTTATTGCACTCTAATTTACTGTACTTTACTTATTTTGACCTTTAATTGATAGTGTTTTGCATTAATTGTGTGTTTTATGCCTTGTAGGAGTTATTCTGAACTATGTAGATGTTGTGGAATAAAATCGAGTGATTTAGGATTTTGAAGTCTGAATAAAAGTTCGAGAGATGAGCCGGAATCGGATGGAGGATCAAGAGTGTATATGAAAAATAAAAGAAAAATGTTCAAAGGCCAAAAACCTATGGCCTATGATGCCATGACATGACTGATGACGCCAGGCACAAAAAGAGCAATTAAGCAAATGTCGAGTCCGAAATAAAAATAATGAATTTTTGGACTCAAGACACAAAAATAAGTGAAAAAAATTAGTGACCAAAATACATATAGCGCCCTTTTAAAGGGCGTTATACCTTAATGGTCGTTTGTCCGTTAAGGTAGAGTGCCCTTTAAAAGAGCGTTATACTTAAATATAAAAAGACAGGTAAGTATAGCATCGTTTATTAAGGCGATATACATATTTTGTGGGCCTACCAATAATTATTCTACGCTTAACTGACATAACAATAATTTAACTGGGTATAGCGCCCTTATTTAAGGCGCTAAACCTCAAAAAAATCGATTCCCCGGATTGGGCATTACCTTATTTAAAGATGTTAAGGATTTTGTAAAAATCCATTCAGAAAAATTCTGAAGTCTTGTTAAATTTTTCTTCGTTAAGTTGTTTTGCATTTTATCAAAATATCTGAAGTGCGAAGAATTAGGGTTTCATTATATTGGGGAGGGGGGAAGGGGTGAGGGGTGAGGTTGTGGTGGCGAATAACTCAGTAAGCTATAGTTTATCTCCACAGTGTCATGTTAAGTTGCCACTTGCAATGGAGTATGATAGATTGATATCGTTGTTATGTAAAAAAAAATGAGTGTGAGCAAACGTTCGGTGAACCTTAAAGTAACCGGAAGATATCCGTATTCTGTCACTACGCAAGGGGTTACTTGTTATGCTGAGTTTAACATCGAGGATGATGAAACTCTGAGTGATTTTTTGAGGACTCCGGATGAATACCGGGAATTTCTTTTGATAAAAATGTTGGAAATGTACGTCAAGGCTGAAGACGTTCGCAATAATGAGATTGCGCAAAGCAGGGATATCCCTCAGTTATCGGGTAGTTATTTTGGAGCAGTTTTAGCTGAACAGGTTCCGGCTGAAAGAGTTTGGCCTGATCTAAACTTATCTCCACGGGCGAATGAGTAGCGGGGAAATAATTTCTCTCCTACTTTACATAATCCACAAGACGAGTGGTAAACTTCAGTTTTCCTTTGTGTTACGATGTTTATTTTTGTTGTATTGAATTTGTATTAACACTCATATATTCCACAGGGGGTACCGCCCAGATATGAATTTTACAAGTTATGAATCAACACCCAGTTGGAATATGCGTAGTTCTGGTGTGTTGGATCATGGTGGTCCATCTGGGAGTCATCACCAACAGGATGATGTCCATCATGGGATGTTAACACATTACGATTTGTAAGTGAAGTGATATAGCTATATGTAAAGTATTTATCAATTTGAGTAACTCATTATTTTGTTGGTTGTGCAGTGAAAACGAGCAACTTGAACATCCTGTCCTGACTCAATTGCCCGAAGACGACATATTTAATCGAGATCTGGCAGATGCACAGAGTCAGGAAGAGAACAGTGATTATGAAAACAATGCCGATGAGTCCGGAGATGACACATCCTTCCCTGATGAGGGTGATGATGAGGAGGAAGAGAATGTTGGACCTGATTTGACGAGGGAGCATGCTCCACCTCCCGTTAGACCAAGAGTGTACGAGTCTCACGTGCTCATTCAAGGAAGATTCCCTACCTTGATCATTTGCCAAGTATGCCGGATGTGGATGACCTCACAAAGGATACTGACGAAATTCGGACAGCAATATGGGATGAGTCTAGACCAACTGTGCTGTCAAAGGGCATGCTTTTTCCTGATAAAGCGCACCTAAGCAGTGCAGTAAAAATGTACATCGTAAAAGAGTGTCGTGAGATGACGGTATGGGAGTCAACTCCGGATGTATACAAGGTTTTTGCCGTAGATGGTTTACGGGTTGTAATTGGATATTGCGTGCGAAGAAGAAGAAAACAAATATGTGGGTTATGGGTAAATACATTGGTACCCACAATTATGAAATGGACACATTCAGTGGGAATCACTTTAACTTGGATGTTGACTTGATTTCTCTTATCTTGATTTCACACATTGAAGCGTCCATAAGGTACAAGATCAAAGAGTGTATTACATCCATCCACCAGAAATATGGGTGCATCATTACCAAAAGAAAGGCATTTCTCGGGCGCAAACGTGCGTTTGAAATTGTTTATGGTAACTAGGATAAGTCATTTGCATCTCTACCCAGTTACATGGCCGCATTGCAACACTTTAACCCCGGGAATACCAGAATATATATTCAGATACGTGTTCGGGGCATTTAAACATCGGGAATTCCAGTTTTATGGCCGTAAAATGCCAAAATATGTAATTTGGTCATGGCGAGGCATTGACTATGGTTCCTTAGATTGTACCTGATGTCCCGAAAAAATATTAGGCAATTCGAGTAATGGAGCCTTGGCCCACGGCGGAAGATAAGGGCTATAACACATGAAAATATGGGAATCGGGAGAATTCCAGTTTTATGACCGAATAATGCCAAAATATGTAATTTGGTCATGGTGGAGTGGTGAATATTGTTCCTTAGGTCATATTTGATATCCCGAAAAAATAGCAGGCGAACCGGGTCCGAGGGAGCCGTGGGCATTAGCACACGAAAATATGGGAATCAAACGGAATTCCAGTTTTATGACCGTAAAATGCCAACATATATAATTCGTTCATGGCGGGGTGGTGACTATAGTTCCTTAGGACATATTTGATGTCTCAAAACAATATTAGGTGATCCAGGTCTGGGTAACCGGGCCCACGGCGGAAGATGTGGGCTATAGCACACGAAAATATGGGAATTAGGCGGAATTCAAGTTTATGGCCGTAAAATGCAAAATAATGTAATTTGGACATGGTTGGGGGGTGACTATAGTTCCTAGGTCATATTTGATGTCCCGAAAAAATATTGGGCGATCTAGATCAGGGGCACACGAAACTCTGGTAATCGGGCGGAATTCCAGTTTTATGGTCGTAAAACACCAAAACAGATAGTTTTGTAATGGCGAGA